TATATATATATATATATATATATATATATATATATATATATATATATATATATATACACATATATTATATCAGGCAATATTTTTAAAATATTTATAGAACGCTGTGCGAGGTCATGGAGGAATATTGAAATTGAAGCTCTGAATTTAAGAATGTGTCTTGCTTACTGGGCGAAGCCCCGAAAGAACGTTACAAGTATACGTCCAATTGTGCGAAAACTGAGACATTGCCATCGTAGCTCGCTAGTGCTCACGGAGTTGGAAGCTCTTGCGGTATATAACACAAGTACAATCTAACGAATATATAACGTACAGTGGTTCCTCTCCGCAATTTCCGACATCAGTTGCGCGCAAAGTGTCTGTATGTGTACGAGTAATAAGCTGAGCGTAATCTGTACAAAGAATTCACGCTGTAAATAACGAATGAGAATTCGACGACGAAGCTATAATCCATCGTGCCTTTCGCGCGCGTGAAGCACATAGTGTGTGCGTGTGTGTGTGACGTAATTAATGCTCGCAGTACGAAAGCTGCGGCTGTGAAACAAAAGTCGAATCCGCCGTCTCTCGCAGGATGTTACTTGCAATGTTTCTTTGGGGTACTTAAGGATGTCCGCGATGCATTTACACAGAGTAGCACGTGCCACGCGGTCAAGGAGTAGAATTCATGTATGGTAACGCGCGTATTGTCATCGCACTGATTTAGTTACGTAAGATGAATTATTTAGATATAGGCGTGATACACACACATACATGTATACAAGATGAGTTACCTAATGTTAGATTTAAAAATAGCTCTGATCTTTTTATATTAGAAGAAAATGCGTAAGACATAAATTGTGTGGTTACATGGGACAAATATTGTAGTCAGCCAACTCCTTTGAATCACAATTATGTGTGAGAGAGAGAGAGAGAACTTCATGCACCTTTCTCTAATATAAAAAACAAGAGATATTTTAGGATTTAACATTGAGGGCGTAACTCATGCTGTATATATTTACACACTACACCATATTCATACAGTGTCTGTTTTGTGATATAAACATACGTTTCTCATCTCGAGTAACGCCTACCGTGGGTCCGCATTCTCCCTCACATCGGAGATTACTACTGGTCATATTTATTGATAATTTTTGTACAAGCCGTAATGTCAATAGAGCAACACTTACGCTAATCATAGAGTCGCCTTAATCCATATTATCCATTGACACACTGTGCATTAATTACGTATGTGTATTGCTTGTGGGAAACGAGAGAGTTGTACTTGATGGAATTATTCGTGTGATGCTCGTACTTTGTTCTGTGAGCTGTAACGTCGTTTTCATGTACTTCCTGGTATGCATTTTTCACTCGCAAGACACCATACACTAAGGAGGAGGCATCGTGTTAACCGAGCGTTAACTCCTGCTGAATCCTTTCTGCTCTTTGGAACCGTTTGATCGTAAATTCTCTGTGTATGTATGTATGTACATGCGTGTGTGTGCGCATTAAAAATTAGTACACGTCACAATTTGTATAACACACTTCGATAATTCTCGTCCGCTTCTCGTCGTATCAGCTTCTCAAGTTGTAATCTGTGTTACTTAAATTCTACTAAATTTGTTATTTCGATTTGGTCCTTTCGTTTCGCCAAGCAAGATTCGTGTTTATGTCACACAGGGACAAGCACTCTCCTCCCGTGACTTTCACGTCGTGGTCTGCCTAAGAAACGAACATCCGTAGCATCTGCAATTTGTATAGTACAATGATAATGTCACATATAATGGCATCATGTGTAGATCAGTCATTATGTCACGTGCAATCGATTCACCAAATAGTCTAATGGATTTTGATATAATTGTTGAATAAGAGTAACAAAGAGTGTACATTACGCCTAGATTGTAAGATACTATTTATAGTTCTGCGCGTTCTATTATTTATTATACACATAATATACTGAATATCAATATGGCTATGTTTCTAGAAATTATGCGCTTTTTGTCGTTCGAATCAAACGCGTTAATGGTTGTGCGCGTCCTGCGTATGTTATATGTGTGCGTGCGTGTGTGGGGGTGCGTGTGCGCGGAGAGAGAGACTGTTGACTTTAAATACTCAATGTTATGCTGACCCCGGCATGCATTGTTGTAACAAAGCGTGAAATACGCAAGACAGAATCGAGAACTGTAAATCGGACAGTACGTCACCTTTTATAACGTTAAGGGCTAGATGTAGGTTTTAGATGCCTTTTTCGGATATCACACAAATGGTAGAGACGGATTTTCTGTCATCGTGAAACGCCGCTGAGTGAAAATGTTTGGTGCGTGAATATATATATGTATATATATGTGAAAATATATATATATATATATATATATATATATATATATATATATATACACACGCGCTGATGAACCGACCAATCCGGTTCAATTTGCATTTGCGATAACTATGTGGCGACGTTTTATTGAAATCCTTAATAATTTATAAATTTTAGCCGCGCCTTTATCTCGACGACACGACACTCGATGGGTCGGTTTGTTGTTTCGCGATTGTTGTACAGCTAATTTTCTTTTTTTCCTATTTTTATTTTCTATTAAATCATAGATTCGTGTCGTATCTGTCCATGACGTAGTGTTTAGCGCTTGAACGCGACGATCTGCTGTATCGAAACATCGTTTCGAAAATAATAACAAACGTCTTATAACGTAAGAAAGTCTATTCTTCTAATGCGTCGAAACGTGCCATCGCGTTCGAACACTAAAGCGCGACATGCGACACATGAATCTTCTCTCGTTCTTTTCTTTTTTATACTTACGTTTTGCATGACGATACTCGAGTTACGTTATTAGCGTTAAATAACGTGTGTAAATGTATATCTGAGTTCGCTTGATTGCCGATTGTTTGCGGCATGATATTTAATTGTGCATACATAGTCACACATCATGATTGTTGCTGCGCATTTTTTTTATAAGAATCTTCTAGATGAATGTTATGTAAAGATCACATAGTATACGTACGAGAATTATACATATACGCGTATACACGTCGGAGTTCTCATTTACGTGTAAATAATGAACGAAGGAGGAATAAAGATTATTTGCGCGTAGGATGGAGACGCGTTAATGATTTCGCGAGAATATAGTACAAGACGGAAAACTGCTAGATTTATATGCCATTTGATGAATGCGACATGTTCTCTATGTACATTTATTAAATATATTAAAAGACAAAACACAGTTATGTTTTTTGAGATTTACTATCAATAAAATTATCAAGTAACAGATAAAGTCTTTCCAAAAATCTAAATAGATAACGAATCAAGTCTAAAGAACGTCGGAGAGTCTTGCTGCTGAAGAAAACTAAAAGATTATTCGTCTTTGAATTAATAAGAATTAAGGGTCTACAGGAATCATTTAAATGCATCAAATTGAAGCGATTGTAGTTAAAATTTTAAAATCAACCGGATATGAAACATTCTAAATTTTCTTAACCGAGATTCGGACCCCAAAATGGTTTAAGTTTTTGTTAAATCGAAATTTAACTATTTTAAGGGTCTCCAGGAGTCAGTAGAGACCTCTCATAGCAAAGACCTCAGAACTAACATTAGTATTTTATCAAATTTTAAGTAAATTACAGAAAATATTGTCATATAATTATAATATTTATAATCAGGATAATAATCCAAAATATGCTACAAAGCGTTTCTAGAAGAATCAAGATACAATAAGAGTTATAAAAATATGGTAATAGCAAATATATCGAAATATTTGAGAAGAATAAGCAAAAAGAAAGATAGGATTCTGATAGCGGAGAAGGAGTGGAAAATATAAAACATATGATAGAAGAATGTGAAGCTACGAAACAGACTATCCGGATGGAAAAGGTTTTAAGAGAAGATAGAGGAGAATTAAAAATTTTAAAAAGAGAATAGAGTAGATCAGGGAAAGAGAAGAAGAGAATGAAAAAAGATGGAAAAGAGAATGAGAGCAGACACAAAAGCAAGATCGAAGAACGAAAAGGACAAAGGAAATTTAAGAAGAAGAAAAAGAAAGAGTTAAAGGATAAGAATATAAAAATAGGAAGATGAAATTTAACTTGGATTTAATTATAAATTGGTTTTGTGTAGAATTTAAATTTTAAAATTGTGATTTCAATTTGGATACTAATTTTAATTTTAATTTTAATTTTGTTTTTTGTTTATATATGATCTTCATTTTTAAGTTAAATTTTAATTTATAGTTTATATTTATTTTATATTTAATTTATATTTTAATTTATGTATAAAAATAAGTTTATGTAAAAATGTAAAAAACTGGAAGTCATCCAAAGCCGAAAGGCACGGATTAAGTTTAATAAATAAATAATAAATATATTTATGCATGTAATAAATATTAAGTTACTTATAAAAATTAAGCGCTTGCAGTCTTTATTACGTTGAATTCTTACATATCAAAGGGATTATTCTTCCATTAATAAAGTGGAATAATAATTACCGTTTATTGAATCTCTCTTAATCTCTCATACAATAATAACAGAGTAAAACTGATTATGTCCTGCTCTTACATTTCGGCGACTCCATCGTCGTAACAATATTAATTACAAAGAATATAGCGGACGTATGTGACGCGTCGTGCATTGTCCGCGACGTATTTTTTATCTCTCCTCTCCGCTGAACGACGATATGCGAAAGTGAAGAATTTGCGAATCTTTCGATCAACGAAGAAGAATAAGATGATGAAGAAGAAGAAATTTGTATCGTTAGGCAGAAAGCGTAGCGAGATCAATGAAAAGTGATCTAATATCCTGCCAGCTCAGCGAACGTCGAGTCCATCTCGTCAGCCAACGACTTGTATCTGTCCTTGTTAATGCCCAATTCGTCTGAAAGAGAAAAGATAAAATGTGTGAAGAGATGGTTGATTTTATGTTTCTTTTTTTCAGCTCAATTTCTTCGCTATTTTTATGCGTGACCGGAAATGCATTGTCAAAACAATTTGAATCAAGAGGCCTACCTTCGAGCCTGTCGACCTCCTTTTGGAGTTTCTTGACGGTTTTCTCGGCGAACTCGGCGCGAGCTTCGGCTTCCTTCAGCTTCACGGTCAGCGTCTTCAGCTGGCGCTTGAATTCTTCGACTCGTTGGTTAGCCTGCAAATAATTGTGGATTAGATTCAATCACTTATATCATTGAGACGATTTTCGACGGCTACTTTCTTCCTTTTACTTTTTCCGCTTATCCGAGCGCGCGAATGACGCTCGCTTATGTTCAGCCTCCGTCAACTTCACAAGACTTACGAAACTCTCTCTTTGACTTGTAAAAATAGTTCTATATGTATGCTGTTTTTACACGGAGAGAGTATTATAGTTACTTTTTATATAAATTTTTTTTAGTTTTATTATATTTTTAATAATCCAGGAATGGACTACTAAACTGTCAGTAAAATCATCTTGCTAAGAAACATGGTAAATTTCATTAGAAATAAGCAAGTATTTTAGTAGCATATTTTTTAAAATATAAATGGCACATATGAAATAAAAGTATAGTCAATTATAGAATATTTTCCTATTATTCGGTTATAAAATTGTATAGTAATTTTTACTATAAAATTCTCTATACATTTTTTTGTGTAAATTTCTACTATAAATTTCTACTATAAATTTATTTTTAATATAAAATGTATGTAATGTTATGATACTATCTATACTATCTATGAATACACATCTATATTATTATAATCATAACGATATAGCAGAGTAGTCTGAATAAAAATCTTTCACAAGTTAGGGAGAGTCCCGTAGGTCTTATAAAGTTGACGGTCCTGAAGCTGAAAAAACTAGTCAATCGCGAGACTGAACAGGAGAAATAAGGCAAAAAATAGACATAGATCTCAAAAGTCGCTTTAAAAGTGTGAGTAATTCCAAGCACTGATTTATTGCAAGTTTGCGACATGGAAATGAGGACACGAAAGTGCAAAAAATGACTTCTGCGATTTGCGGAATAAAAGAAAGAACATGAGAAACTCAGCCGCCAAAGACGACGGCCGTACCTTCTCCTCGGAGACCTCCAGAGACTTCAAGCTGTTACCTACAACCTTCAACTCTTCCTCCAGCTCCATGATCTTGCTGTGAAAGTGAAAGATCGAAATTAAACGCTCGAATTTTGTTTTGTTTAATCTCGAGAGACGGTTAACGAAGGGCGCGTCTCTTATTTTTGAAGAAATTTGCAGTTTTATCGTTTCCTCGATACATCATGAAATACGTTCAATTCAAACTAATTTAATTAAAACCAATTTAATAAAAATTTAAAATTTAATTATATAGTTTATATATTAATTGAAAATGATTTAATAAAATTCGCGGGTAATGAAATAATTTTGTGTTACGTGTAAATCGCTGTGCGACTGAACTGTAAGAGAAAAGCGCAACTAATTCATTAATTAATGATTTTTATTGTCGTTACTCACGCCTCGCCGGACTTGACGCGGTCCTCTGCGACCTCGAGCTCGTCTTCAACGAAGGCCAGCTTGCGTGACACTTCGTCGGACTTGCCGTCGGCGTCCTCAGCGAGCAGACGGGCTTCCTTCAGCTGGTTCGTCAGCTGGTCCATCCTCTCCTCATCCTGCTGCGCACGGTTTTCCAATACTTTGCACATACTGCAATTGGTAGCGTGTATGTCGTGACGATGTAATGATGCGTACGGCGTGGATTAATTAAGCGCGCATAATTACCGGCTGGACTCGTCGGCAGCCTGCGATGCTTCCGTCAACTTGGCAGACGCGGTGTTCAGCCGTTCTTCCGAGCGCTCCAGATCCTCTTCAATCAGCTGGACTTTGCGATTCAAGGCGGCGACTTCGGACTCAGCCTGCAGGCAACGTCGGGTATTTTAATCGTGTACAGTTACCACGAAATGTGAGAAAATTGTTGACATATAAATATATTCAATATATTTTAAAATTGGTTACAAGGCTCTTTAAATAAAGAATCCAAGAGAAGAGATAAAGGCCTGCTAAAAGTTGACACACAAGTTTAATAGGTGATATTAATTAATTCAAATAATAAACAATTAGTGTCTATCCTTAGGATGTGCGAAGGGAAAAACTTTATTTAAATTTTATTTTGTCCCCCCCTCCGGTAGCATCCTGCTTAGCTGCTGCTCAGTTTCAAAATAATATTTCCAGGCCTTTCTAATTTAAACATTCAAACTTTAACACATCCTAACACCAAATTGTTTGACATTATATTGCAGATTATTTTGGATTTTTATTAACTTATTTTTCGTACAATCCTCACTCGCTACATCCTTATAAACGTAGCGGTGTGGCATTGTGTGAACCGTGAACTTAACATTTACTTGGAAGGCTGTCGTGGCGGTTAAGCCTGTTATTATTTAATATTTTTATACAAATATAAAGACTCTTACTATATACAATAAATCGCTATAAAAAGTCAATAAAAGGGAGATGAGAGTCACATATCGCCGGTATAATAACGAGAACAATTATTTATACAACTGACAAAAATTACAATAAAAATCCAGCAAACGTTTCGGAGCCATTTCGGGCCATCTTTAGCGCATACTATACAATTATAAAAAGTTCTTTCACAAATAATATGAGACGTGAGAGCAATGATTGCAGCTATAACCAATCAAATTCTTCTCGAGCAACGATATTTAGCGATGCCCAGATTAATTAGGTCGATACTCGATGTTCCCAAAAAACTTGTAACGATTATATATGAAACAGTGCAACTGGCTAATATGATAAAAAGATAAGCATACCAATGATATCAACCTATATAATCCATGTAAACGCTGAATTATGTTCATAATAATTTT